CATATTTCTTTTTCAATTTCTTTTCTATGCCTTTTTATTTCTGACAAAGGGGGATAAAGTATAATGATTTTGATATGGCTAAATCTAAGAATCTCGATCCCAAATATTACTAAACATGTTTTACTTCTAACCTATGTTTGAGAATTAATCAGGAACTTCGTAAAAGTTCATTGAACATTAGAACAAGCTATCAGAAGACTGAAGAAGATTATATCAGAAGCAATAGATCACAAGATATGATTTGTTGAAGACATCACAATAAAAAAAATGCTAAGAAAGCTTGATCTGGTAATATATGAATATCTGGTGCTGACCACTAAGTTATCAGAAACAAAGGATGTCTATGAGTTTCGCGTAGATACCCAAAACTTGTCAGAAGTTGTTAACTTTCTGGAAGAATGATTCAATTGGTATCTTAAATTCAATTGGTATCTAAACTTCAAATGCTATCACGACTCCAACATTAAAAGAATGTGAACTTTTCAGAGATCAAATCAAGTCACGGTCATTAAAGAAAAGATTTTGTTTCTGAACTATCAAATGACATGAGGATATGTGCACCTGTTGATGATTTGTGCTAAGATATTGAAGATTTGGTTTTGATACATGATGAGTGGCATCTAAGAAAGTATCTACCAGTTTCTGATATATAATGCAAGACATCAAGGCTGATAAGACAAATCATGTTCTGATACGTCTATAGTATTTTGATAGCAAGTTAGGTTCTGAGATGAAGACCAGACAGTTCTGGTCAGATTCTGATGAGACGTCATAGAGAAGTAATCCTTCTCTGTTGATATGATTCTACTTCAAAATCATTTTGTGAGTCTTGGGATCAGAGGGAGACTTTGAACAAGCATAAATGAATTTTGAGAGTAACAGAATCAGGGGGAGCCCGTTAAGCTTAACTCAGACTCTGTGGTTTATGGTGATTACCCTGTATAAATTGCTCTATCAAAATACATTGTTTTTCATCATCAAAAAGAGGGAGATTGTAAGAAAAAGATTTGGTTTTACATCTGTCCTTTGAGTTTCGATGATAACTGCACATGTTATGTAAGAGAACAATTATGTATGATATGATTTCTCTCTAGTATGTAACTGTTGTCAATACCATTCTGACTCTGATAAAAAGACGTGTGATGTCTTCAGACTCTGTTATCAACACTCTAAAAGAAAACATATGTGTGTATAAGATAAAGTCAAGATTCATGAATGATTCTAATACAACGGTTCTAATGAACGTTAGTTCTGGACATTCTAATGGATACTTTATGAGAAATGTCTATAAGGCTTTCTAATGTGATGCGCTTCTAATGTTACAAGTTCTGAAGATTCTAAAGACGTGATTCAGGTAAACATGATTCTGAAGATTCTGAAGATACAATATCTGAAGGGCAAGTTCTGAAGAGTTACTGAAGACAAGGTTCGGGTGAACTAAGTACTGAAGATTCTGAAGACAAGAATGTGCTTAATGAATTATAAAGACTCTAAAGATAATGTTCTGAAGGAATAAGTTCTGAAGACTCTGAAGATATTACTTCCAAACGAACGAGTGCTGAAGATTCTCAAGATAGTTTTGCTGAACAAAAATCTTGGAATTCTAAAGACTGGGTTTCTGAAGCTGCAAAGAATTGACTCTTTTATAACATGCTTCATCAATGTTTTATTTGAAGACATTGAATACATTATAAAGACTGAAGATAAGAATGATTTTGAGCTAAACATAAGAATACAAAAAATTGTGACCTCTACCTCGATAGGGTGGCGCAAGAGCATCTTTTTGTATAGTGATGTTGACCATTCCTTCCTGTGAATGTTGGGATATTGATGTTGGAATATGTTTCCAAGAATGTCCCTCAACGGATCTATTCTCTCAAGCTCTATAAATTGAAGATTAAGAAGCTTGAAGAATTGCTGGTTGCTGGTGATAGCACGCTGTTATGCAAAGCCAAAGTGCTGAAGAAAATGCTACAAGCTAAAGCTTAAACAAAGAATGCTCAATGAAGAAGAAGTTGAAGCAAACTGTTTGAATATGTGTATAACATGTTATAACCATGTATATCTAGTAAAGTGAAACATCAATAAGTGAAGAATAGTAACTTAGTTGATCTTGATGGTTAAGCTGGAAGAAGAATTACCTGCTCAAGAAAGGAGTTCATCAAAAGAAGCTAAAAGCTCATGAAAAGAAGTCGTAGTGCTCATCAAGAAAGCTTTTAAGCAATACATAACTAATGTTTTATAATCTCTCAGAGATTCATTCTTTAGATAGTTTCTGTATTAGAAAGCAAGAAGCTGTTGCTCAAGAACTTGCTAGAAACACTTAGGTGTTCTTGTACTTCATTTGTGTAATCAACTTGTAAGAAGCATTAAGTGTACACATGTAAAATCCTTTTTCTAAAGGTGGCATAAATCCTTGTTGAAGGTAGCTTGAGAATTCCCTTGTAAAAAGGTGATTGTATTCCTTGGGGGACTCGTCGTAGTCAGAATTCTCAAGAATACAATTGAGGGTATCCATTGTGGATTGATGATTTCTTTGAGCGGTTAAGTGAAAGTCAGTATGCTTGAGAGGGCTAAGCATGTCGTTTAACAGCTTAGAGGTTGTAATCATTTTGATGATTATTGGATTAAGTCCTTGTCTAAGGAGAAATTACCATGGTTGGTGGACTGGAGTAACTTTTTTAATAGTGAACCAGAATAAAAATGATTATGTTCATTTATTTTTATTTACTTGTTAACATCATTAGTTTAATTCTGCAAAAAGGGACAAAATGTGAAACCCAATTCAAACCCCCTTTTTTGTGTTTCTCAACCTTCAATATATTCTCAATAATTTTAATTTATTAAAATATGGAATTATATATTCTCCATATATTCTAAAAAAGAAGAATATTAAATTTATTAAAATATATATAGTCAGATCAAATAACACCATGGTTGTCAAACTTAATATTATGACATCTTCAAAATCTTTACTCCATATCTATATAACAAAATTCACAGTTAAATTGAAAGTTATTATCATATAGATCATGCATGCAAAATTTAACATCAATCAAAAGTCATTTGATATGTTAAAGAGATTGATCAAAATTAATCAATATAATTAAGTTTTCTGAGGCATTAAGTTTTACACATCTCATTTACAAATCAAATAATTTCAAATTGATGTTAAATTTTATATACATGATCTATATAATAATATCTTTATATCCAATGTTTGATTTTGCTACAAGAATATATGTGGTAAAAAATTATCAGAGATGTCATAATATTAAGTTTGACATCTTAGAGTCATATATATATATATATATATATATATATATATATATATATATATATATATATATATATATATATATATATATATATATATATATATATATATATATATATATATATATATATATATATATATATATATATATATATATATATATATATATATATATATATATATATATATATAATATATATATATATATAAAAGTAAAAATCAATTTATTTTAAAAATAGGTTTTTTTAATTTACTCAAAATCATAGTCTTTAAATTGAATCTAATTTAATAGTTAGATTAGCCTTTTAGTTAATATATATATATATATATATTAGAGAAAGACCTAATAAAAAAACATACACGTTTCTATGCATTAGCATAATAAATTATATATATAGTCCAATTCATATTGGTAAACACAAATCAATCAACTATACAAATAGATTATCTTCGTCTGTCTATTTTTAACTTATAACTTTCCAAACAATTTTAAAAAAAAAAAAATTATAATGTTTCTCTCAAATTATAAAATTGATTTCCGAAATAATAATTAAATGGCACCAACAGGGGAAATCAACTTAAAAAATGCATTAGGAATTTGAAAAAATAATTTTATATATATATGAGAAAGACCTAATAAAAAAACATACACGTTCCTATGCATTAGCAATAATAAAATTATATATATAGTCCAATTCACATTGGTAAACACAAATCAATCAACTATACAAATAGATTATCTTCGTCTGTCTATTTTTAACTTATAACTTTCCAAACAATTTTTTTTAAAAATTTATAATGTTTCTCTCAAATTATAAAATTGATTTCCCAACTAATAATTAAATGGCACCAACAGGGGAAATCAACTTTAACAAATGCATTGATGTAACCATAACCACACAATCAGTGTGAATTGAGCATTAACGCATTACTTATAATATATACGATTTTCATGTGTCGCTGACCTTCAAGTTCAATGATAGAGTTGTCTACTAGAATCATGAAGGGGTCCCATCACAATTATAAAGAAAATTAAATTCTTAATAATAGGAATAGCCTTCGAAAATTTGTTCATGTTTTTTTTTTTAAGTTTTTAAAATCCCTAAAGACCAATGCACACTCGTCTTTTTAGAAGGACGGCCGAGACGGTCAAAAACCGATAAGGTGAATTGACTTTTTTCACTAAAGTGAACTTTATTCTTTATGATTCTGGGAGTCAATATTATAAGACTGAAATAATGAGAGCAAAAATGTAAAATTTCTCGATGCAAATAATATGCACATATTGATCTCTCAACTCTTGCCTTATTTTTTACTGATCGCTTTGAATCAACCATGAATCGTTCAATGGATATATCCATTTATATTGAACAGACCCACCAAGGTAAGCTTCATAAGCAAGATGCACGGGGAGATTCTCCATAGAATCAAAGAAACCTAGTGGAAATATTTGCTCTAATTTGTAGAGAATGATGAGAATATTTTGGTCCAACTTAAAGATGTCATCCACACATAAAGTTGACACACAAATGTCTTTAAAAAATTGACTAATCTCAGTTAGTAGATTAAGGACATGCTTAGGAAGTGAACTGAATGCAATTGGAAGCAATTATTCCATGAAAACATGACAATCATGATTTTTCATTCCATGCAGCTTTCCAGTTTTTGCATCAGCACATCTTGCTAAGTTAGAAGAATAAACACCGGGCAGCCTCAACTCATTTTACCATCGGCAGATTGCTTTTGCTTCTTGGGGAGTAAGAGTGTAACAAGCCTTAGGTTTTAATAATTTTCCATTTGGTTGAGGTTTTAACTCCAAGTCTTTTCGATTACACAAAAGTTCCAAGTCCTTTCTAGCCTTCTCATTATCTTTTGTCTTGCCTTGGACATCCATCACAGTGTTAAACACATTATCAAAAAAATTCTTCTCAATATGCATAATGTCGCTACTGCGAAAATCGGCGCCGGCTTGACAGGAGAGTCGCCACCGTGCGTTATTTATCCCTCAGAGCGGGAAAGGAAACGCTCGAAGTAAACCTCGCAAAGACGGGAAAAGGTATGGTCATCGCAACCAAAACCTGGATTCGGGAGTCGGTTACGCAAGGGGAAGGTATTAGCACCCCTCACGTCCATCGTACTCGATGGGATCCACGCTTGGTGTTTATAGGTAAAAGGGTGTATTATCTATCTACGCTAATGGCTGGTCTGAAAAGAAAATAAAAGGACAGGACTCGACAGAACATACGGTGTTCTGGGCCTACGTATTCCCTCGTGCAATGGGAAAGTCAGAGTCAACGTAGTTCGACTGCCTACGTCTAAACGGGGGAAAGGTTGCTCGCCAGGACATCGCGTCCTGTGCCTACGTACTTTCATCTGGAATGAAAGATCAGAGCAAACGTAGTTCGGCTAACTACGGGTAAACAGGGGCTCTCACACAGCAGTGAGAAAACAAACTAGTCCTAAGGACTCGGGAACCTACAAATACGATCTGGTCTCAAATGCACTCGGGCAAGAGAAAGGGATACAATTAGTCGTTAGCGGGAAAGTCTCGATCGCACAGCCGCGAGAGAACAAAGGTTAGTCGTTAGTGTGCTCGCTAGGATATCGCATCCTATGCCTACATATCTTCGTCTGGAACGAAGAATCAGAGCAGCTGTAGTTCAGCTAACTACGGGTCAAGCTACTCAAAAGCTCCTACAGAAAGGAAAGGGAAACACTAGGACTATAGCTGAGGAATAGGGAATCTACCTACTGCTATCACCTGGTTGACCATCCTAATGTCTATCATAACAACTCCGCAACGGAGAAGTCAGAGCTCCTAAGGGATCATGGCAACAGGACTAAACCACAAACAAGAAACTGCAACGGTACAGAATACTGAAAATATGCATGAATGCAACAGCTAAACAAACAAGGCACAGAGGCCGCAAACCACAAAGGCAAGGGAGCTCAGCTCTACCAAATACCAACAAGCAAAGCCACGCAATAACAAACAAGCAGAAGGAGGACCACCTCAACTTCTCATGCACACAAGGTCTACTTCTAAGATGCACCTACTCAGAACTATCTAGATGAATACCTAAGTCTAATGCAACCTAACATCACACAAGTCAAACAATCCAAAGAGACTAACCCTGAGCAGGGCCTCAAACAAGCTCCTAATCTATCTCTAGACAGAACTCCATGCAAAACCCTAGGCAAAGATCTAAGCAACAAAATCTAATCAAAACCCTAAGCAGGAGGAATCAATCCCAGTCTCCAAGCTTCAGAATAAGCTTACCAGAGAAAGGAAGCTAAGCAGACAAGCTCATAGTGCTTTCCTCAGGAAAGTACCAGGAGGTTACTACTCAGGAGTCATATCCTATGCGGCTCAACAACTGTGATCAGTTTATATTCCTCCTCAGGAGAAATTAAACTCACATGAAGGCTCCGGCGTCACTGGATACTTGGGAAAGAACCTATATGCACTAAGGGAACTAAGTGAGCAGACCCATAGGACCTTCCTCAGGAAAGTACTAGGAGGCTGACACTTAGGAATCGTATCCTACGTGGCTCAACAATTGTGATCAGTTTACATTCCTCCTCAGGAGAAATTAAACTCACAAGTTGGCTCCAACATCACTGGATACTTACGAAATCCTAGATAAACTAATGGAACTAAGTGAATAGACCCATAGGACCTTCCTCAGGAAAGTACTAGGGGGTTTCCACTTAGGAATCGTATCCCATGTGGCTCAACAACATGTGATCAGTTTACATTCCTCCTCAGGAGAAATTAAACTCACAAGTCGGCTCCGGCATCATTGGATACTTACGAAAGAGGTGAGAAGAAAGAATGAAAGTCATTCATAGTGCCTTCCTCAGGAAAGTACCATAAACTCCCTTCAAACTTCAGGATCTCGAACCTCACAAACAGACAACAAGCTCCTAGACTAAGCCTCAATCCACTGCATCCTTGCAAGCTCCAACAGGACTTCAATCAGCTCCCACCTTGAGAAGAAACCCACAGGCCAACAAACTACAAGAGAAAATCTCTGAAGTTCAACCACAGTTGAACTTCAAAGTCAGAAGTCATCAAGACTTCTCCTATCTTCAGGCTCAGACAAATCTCATCAGAATATCCTACAAAAATCTATCAAAAATCTAATGGGAGACCTACATGGCTCTAGGGTAACATACTGAAAAATCAGAACAAAATTCAACACCAGATGAAAGAACTAAAATCAGCAACACAGACATATCCACAGACCAATTATTCAACATCAATAACAGTGACAAAATGCAATTAAAATGAAAATGCATGATTAAGCTAATGTTTTTATGCTATAAAATTCTACACTGAATTACGAGTCTACAGAAAAAAGAACGGAATTATTCGACTAAATCTACCATTTTTTATTAATTTTCTAATGATATGCATGCATTAAAAATATTAAAAGGAAATCAATTAATTGGAAAATATGCACAAAATAACAAACAAAAATAAAATGTCATTTTTATTTTTATTTAATTTTCTTAACATTTTCATGAAATGGCTGAAAAAAGAATTATTAAAAAAACAATTATTTCAAATTTTTATGAATTATTTACAAATATGAAAAGAGATAAAAGAAATATAAAAGGAATAAAATGGGGGGGTTCAAACAGCAGAATTCTAGTTATTTATCTACATTGGGCCCTGATTGGGGGGTGCCATCAGCAAATGGGCGCAGGGCCCAGACTTAATATCCAGAAAAACAAAAAAACTGAATTGAAACCAGAGGGGGGTGCAGCGCTAGTAGGGTTTTCAGTTGTTTCTACTACTGGGCTTACGCCCAGGGGGTGTTGAAAGTAAATAAGGCCTAAGGCCCATATCCATCATTCAGATCTCACACAGCCAGGGGGGTGAACGAGCAATTGGGATGGTGTGCGTTCAGAAGACGCGTTTGGGCTTAGCCGAATACCCCAAACCCTAATCCAATATTCACTTAGACAAAACCAATTCTTCTCCCAAATGCTCTGGCACTGTTCACTCTCTAACCCTAGCCGTTTCATCATCTTCTTCCTCTCCCTCATTCTCTGCAACTTCTCTCTAATCTCAGACACAACAACAACAAAACACCACATTATCACCATTATCCCCCTCCATCCAAGCCTCACACACAATTAAACCCTAAACGAAACCGAAACTCAACGAATCAACACAGAAGCATCATCATACAGAAGAAACACGCAACCAGAGTGAAATGACGTGTACCTGGCTGTAGCGAGAACTAGCGAAGAGTGCTTGAAGCTCGGTGGAGAAAAGGTTCTCAGAATCTCAAACGAACCTCCAAACGGCTCTCAAACAACTCTCTTCTCAAATTTCTGAGCGAAGCAAGAACGTCACTTGGAGCTTCTGGAAATCTCGCTTGAAGAGGGATGCAATTTGAAGTTTCTGAGGATCTTGACGAGGATTGTTGAAGGTTTGAGTGTCCTGGAAAAAATTGATGAAAGTTTGATGTTATTCTGGAAACAGTTGATGGAGGATTGATGTTCAATGGTGATTTCTGGAAATTAGGGGATGAAGACGATGAAGGTGTGCGAAGGATTCTGGAAATTTGGTTGAAGGTGGATGAATGTTTAGGATGATTTCTGGAAAAGTGGAGGAGGTTTCCGGCGAGGGTTAGATTTTCCGGTGCCGTTGAAGATGAAGGTGGAGGAGACGATCGGAGGAAGAAGAGGAATTTCTGGGGATTTTTGATGTTTGGGGATGACGGTGGCCGGAAGTTGTTGACGGTGACCGGCGGCGGGAAGTTACGGCTGATGCATGGCCGCCGGTGGTGTTGGCGGTGAAACTCAGGCGATGGTGTGGGGGCGCCAAGTGGCGTGCATGCGCAGAGGGAGAGAGAGAATGAGGGACACGTGGGAGAGTCTGGAAGCTCTGAGTGGCTGTGGTGGCGTGGGGATTGAGAAACGCGTGGGACCCTTGCATGGCCAACACGTGGCGCTTTTATACCACTGAAAATGCTAGAATTCTCCAGAAGGTTCTGGTGTGCGCTGGAAACATTTGGGATTTGGACTGCTTTGGATTTTTTGCTGGACTTGCTGATGAATTATTTGGACAAAAATTGAATGGGCCTCACCAAAAACGCCCCTGGGCCCACGAAAGCTGAATAAAAACTGTACAAAAAAACTGAATTAAAACAATTAAACCCAATTAACTCTAATCAATTATTAACACCTAATTAACTAATGACTAATCCTAATAAAAATCTAAAAAACAATTAAGATCTAATTAACTCTAAAAATTCAATTAACCTAATTAAACTAAAAAAAGATTAAATGTCTAATTAATTCTAAACTCCTACTAATTTTCTATTAAAATTCCAATATTATTTAAAACTAATCAAAATCTATCATTAGTAAGAAAAAAACTATATTATTTTCTATATTGTCTAAAAAACAATTAAACCCATTTAAAAATCTATACAAAATTCCTAAAAATGATTTAAAAATTCTTATAAAATCCTAAAAAGAGAATTAAACCATTAAAATATTCAAAAAAACCCTATTTAAATTCCAGAAAAATCTATAAAGCCTGTTAAAAATTCACAAAAGCCTATAAAACCCTAAAAATGCAGATGAATGCACATGACCCCCGTAAAAGCGCACACGAGACCAGATCGAATCGAACAGAGATCCCCGGGCATCAGAATATTCTCAAAATCACTGAAAAATCACCGAGGAGCGCACAATTTCCTGAAAATAAAACCCTGGTGATCTGGACTGGGTCTGCCATATCTGATAGACAAAAATCAAGCTGTAAACTCTGATATCCCCTGCTTGTGCACAAAAATCATACATCTGAGCTGTGAATATGAAATTAAACCATGAGTCAGATAGGAGAATCGGTTGATCAAATTTTAGGGTGCAACAGCTGCCCCTATTCAAGCGACTTGGACCTGAAGGGTTTGAAGA